AATGAGAATTTGTGTTCTATTTCGTTTTCATTGTCAGAAGACGCAAAGAAGATGAAATATAAACATCTACTCAATTTTATTATTCATTTTCCTAAGATTAAAAAATTAAAAAGAAATTTATTATCTATTTTAAAAGCAGTAAAATTTTAAATAATTCAATTCTGTTTGTTTAATTATTTTCTATATTTATATATCTCAAGAGGCCGAAATTATGGTGTAATTTCAATTAATTCAATTAATAAACTCGAACAAATTGCTCCATAATATGTTCCCACTATAATTATATTTATATTTTACTCTAAGGGGAAAAGGGAATGCTGGAAAATAAGATAATATTTGCTCGTACATTTCCATTTAAATTCGGTGTAGCACGATAAAGCGTAATCTATCATCCAATAAAAGCTCGATTTTGCGTCGAAAACGAAATAATAACTTCTGTTTTTTTTCTTCCACGTTTAACGAGAAGTCGCATCGACGGAATTCGTGCCCCATTCACAATCGTTATGACGATCCTCCTCTTCGATCGTTCCTCGCTTTGATATCTGGGCGAAAACGAATTGCAAATTCGAGAACACGTTCAAACTTTCTTCCCCGATCTCTGAATAAATATTCTTCCTCGGAGACAATTTCATTGTTGACAATTTCAATCTCACCTTTCTATGTCTACGTCTACTACTGTCTTAAAATAATCTCTCGATGAAACGAAAAGGAAAATCGAAACCATGTATAATTTCGAAGAAAATACATCGGTATAAATATGTATTCTTGTTATTCTCTTCTTCTCCTTTTTCTTCTTCTTCTTCTTCTTTTCCTTTCTCTAGATTTTTATTCCGTAGAGAAACGTTGGAATTATTTATATATATTTTCTTCAAGGACTAGAAATTAAAGATGGGTCGAGACTCAATCCCAATCAATTTCTCGAAACTCTCGAACCTCGAAACTTTGTTGAAAATCAAAAGATGGAAGATCGGGAGAAAATTTCGATTTTTGAAATCCTTCGAAAAACTTAATTCGTATCTTTTTTTTTGGATGGATTATTAGTTAAAAGTTTCGAATCGCAAAAAAGTTTCTAAGTTCGAGAAACTCGAAATTTCTTGGTTCGGTTTCTCGAAGTTTCTACTGTCCCATCCCTGCTACAAATATTTCATCGAGGTGATTGTACAAACAATCTTAGCTCACTCTGAAGTTCGCCGCCCCAAGTATTCCATTGTTGTTCCAGAAGAACTTTTACAACTTGGAGTTACTCGCTTCCTCTTCGTCTTCTTCTTCTTCTTCTTTTTTTGTATTTTTTTTCTTTTTTTCCTTTTTTTTTCCATTTTCGTTTCGATGTAAATTTATAGAGAAATATCTTTATGTTACCTTAGCCTGTGTAAACATTTTTCATGTAAATCGATAGTAAATAATGTAATAATAATATATCGTAATAATAATATTAATACAATACTCCTCTAAAATTGCCGTTTTATTATTTACACACACACGCCACCACGCTTTTGAAAAATCTAATCGAACCCGTGTAGAAAAATATCCGATGAATTGATAGAGACTCGAGACAATCTGCGGCCATCGTTCACGCTTTAGAAGAAAACTTCTTTCTTACGTTTCGCGGGAAAAAACTCTCCAAACAACTTTCTTTCGAAAGCTTGCTTCGAAAAATCAATCGTGCATTTTCTGTTTATCTTTTTTTCTTCTTCTTCTTTTTATATTGTACATCAATTTCAAATTCTATTGAAAAGTTTTCAAATTTTTTGCCGCGAACCGCGTACAATTTTGCGCAGATTTTAGAAAATTTTGCAGAAACCACGCGCTTTGGCCCCATAGCGTTAAAATCGAAAGAGAAGAAAGAAGAGGAAAAAGGAAGGAAGGAAGGAAGAAAGGAGAGAAACGAAAAGTGCAGAGAGATAGATATTTTCTTTCTTGATATAATGAAATTCGTGAAGATACTTGAATTCGCTCTTTCCAATTTAAAATTGTTAATTTTTTTTTTTTTTTACCTGTTTGGTTTATAATTTATGCATGGCCTAGATTCTTGTGTATCTTTATGTAATAGTTATCATGTTGAAAAAATTGAAGTTAAATACAATTTTATTAAAGAAAATCGAAATTATCCAACATAGGTTTTAAAAGTGAAAAGAAAATTGGAAATAAAATAAAAAAAAAAAATCATAATCGAAATTTATCGAATCCTAGTAGAATTAATATCGATTTCTAGGGAAAATGTTTTTAAAAATTGAAAATTCCACGTAGAAAGACATAGAGGGTCTCTGATACTCTTTCAATAATATAACAAACAATAATTACACATTCCATACTGATAAAAATTTCATTCGAACATAAATTTCTCTGAATCCCAATTAAATGCAAATAAAATGCACGAAAACTCTAATCATAAACAAAAATCTTCCTTTCATTCGAATCATCCTTTCAACCAATCCCAAATTTAAAAGATAAACATCCCTCGGCTCTCTCCAAACGAATCAACAAATCACTGTGTTATATCTTCGTTATATTCATAGATCACTAATGATTCAGATTACGCGAATGCCGATCTATCCGCGGTTCCTCGATCCACCATCAATCCGCCGTACGAAATAAGGAACAAGGATAGAAAACCACCCCTGGTGGCAAAGCGGTTCGTCGCCGCGCAAAGGAAAACTTTCATTCAGCAGTATTATCCGTTTTATACGTGTCATTTATTTTCGCTTTCGTGAACGATAAGCATAGGAACGGATCCGGAGGTTGCTTTTCGTCTTTTTTTTTCCCTCTTTTTTCTTTTTTTTTCCTTTTTTTTTTTTTTTTTTTTTTTTTTTTTTTTGTTTGAGAATCGATTTAGCCTCGTTTGCAAACGAAATCGGCGCACCAGCGAGATACCAGACTTGACGGGTACTAACTGGCCAGCTGATGTTTCGTGTTATGAGGTTTTAGTATGAATTATTGTTGGAACATTAATTTCTTTTTTTTTTTTTTTTTTTTTTTGTTTGAGAATCGATTTAGCCTCGTTTGCAAACGAAATCGTCGCACCAGCGAGATACCAGACTTGACGGTTACTAACTGGCCAGCTGATGTTTCGTGTTATGAGGTTTTAGTATGAATTATTGTTGGAACATTAATTTCTTTTTTTTTTTTTTTTTATAGATCCATTGTGATTTTTACGTTATATGCGTAATATTAGTCGAAGAGGATCTTAGAACAAGTCGAGGTTTGAGAACGTTGTTAAAGAGCATAATTCAATAAAATTTATGCCTTCGAATGTGATTGAAGATATTAAATGGAATAAATTTGAAAATTGTGCGATATAAAATAGTATAAAGTAGAATAAAATTTGTATTATTATGGAAAGTCAATGAAATTGGTGAAATTGAAATTTTAAAATTAGTAATACGAATAATAATATAATATAATACAAATTTTTGCATTCGAAAGTCGAAGAAATTAAATTTAAAAATTCTCAATGTTAGTACAAAGAGAAACTTTTCTTTTAACACGATAAATTTTGAAATCATTTTGATTATAAATTCGAAATTGTGATATAAACTTCAAAAATTTTCATCTTTTTCAACAGATTATTTTAGGCAAACGATTTTTGTATTCTATTTGTTTAATTCAATCAATTTTTTAAATTCTATAAAATATAATTTAAGTATTTTCAAACTATCAATAGTTCATCAAAGCATTATTTAATTATTAATTTAATCATCCAGATAAATTAAATTTTATTACAAATATTTAATATTTGTTATCATCTGTGAAGAATTTTAAAAAATTAAACTTTTTTCTGTTATATATGTCGATGACAATCGATTTTTATTGAAATATAATTTTGAAA